TTCTTGACCTCCACGTCCTGCTAGAGTTTCGTTCCATAAAAAACAAATCCCTTTATTGCCAATATAATCTGTTTTATAAAGAGTTAGAAACCTGGACCATAAAGGCCAATGTGATGAACCGATTGAAGGCCTTTGAAATGTGGGTAAGAAGTAGAAGACTACTTAAAATTGTCTGGACAGATCACACAACAAATGTCGAAGTAAAAAATCGAATGGGCAGAGAACGAGAATTGCTGCCAATATTAAAAAGAAGAAAAACTGCTCATCTGGGTCATATATTTCGAAATTCCAAGTACCAGTTCTTAAAGCATATTATGAAAGGGATGATAGAAGGAAATCAAGGCATCGGAAAAAAGAAATACTCAAGGCTTAAAAACATAAGGGATTGGACAAACCTCGATGCCCATGCACTTTTTAGAGCCACACAAGATCGAGAGGAGTATGCCAGAATTGTCGCCGACATCCACCAATTGGATAGGACACCATAAGAAGAAGAAAAAAGAGTTAGATTGTAGACCCACAGTTGTCTTTTGTAAAAGGATTTACATTTTTCCAAATCGGCATTTTTCCAAATCAAATGAAACAGTCACATAACTTGGATCTAATTTACTTCTTTCTTGATCCCTCTTCTTATTTTCATGGCTTTAAGTCATTTCCAAATGGTTATTTAAATCTTGTTCTATTGTAATCTTTTCGTGTACCTTCCCTGTTTGTTCCAAGGTTTGTTATTATAATATTACTTAAGGCGAAGATTTAATCGATCACTTTTCGCTCACGTATCATTTGCAGAATGATAAAAAAAGCACAAATATATTCTTCATTAAATATTTTTCTGTCATGAAATTCTTTGAGCCAAGCAATTTTCATTTCTTTGCAGTTTACAATATAAACATACTTGAAATATTCAATTCTAAGATAATGCCTAGAAGATTTTTCACGGAAATAGTGGCTGGTATATTTAGGAAAACTTCTAATGTGATCGCGAATAATATCTTTCAACTGTTTAGCAATTTTGGGCCGGTTTTTTATGCATTTCTCTTCCATCTGGTGGACATACCCCACCATGAGCCTTTTTTCTCTACAATCACTCTTATCTTTTTAATAGAAATGTCATAGGTGCTTAAGTACATGCTCTGATAACTTTCTGTTCGATTTCCGGTAGAATCTTTTAAAAAATGTTTCCTAGAAAAAGATCTCCTGCTTTCCATTTTTTCTGGTGCCAGCCTTTGCCCATCTTTAAGTTTTTCTTCCTTACTTTCCGCTAACACTTGATCTTAAGCGTGTCTAACTGGTAAAATCTCGAAAATATATTCTGCCTTTAAGCATTATCAATCTTATCATAACACTTTCGCCTACAGTGGCATGCTGACTGTAATACTTTCACCAATAGCGTGAATTGGTCGCAAAGTCGCAATTAAAGAGAATAACAAAAGCTGATACACTCAGTGGCAAACATTTGGATTAGTTGAACAACAATTTTAACATATTTTCTCGAATATTTCATAAAATACTTAGAGAAGGATAGCTAAACCTCATTCCGTTTAATTTGTCTTTGAAAGACCTATTCATTTCTTCAATTAAATATAGATTGTTCTATTACAACAAAAGTAGAACGTCATAACTTTGGCAAATATAACAGAAAAAATTGCAATTTTGAACTAGGCATCGATTCAAAAATAATGCGCCAAATATTGGTACTTAGTCCAGCCATGAGGAGCGCTTCTGTGCTTAAACTCTATTATTGAAGCTTCTTCTTTATAAGGTATGCTCTGTGGTAACCTTGGTACGGCATGGGCGCACAACCGTACCTGACAGCATTTCGTCCCATCTGGTGCAAATAAAATTGATATGGAGATAAACAGAGATGGCCTAGAAGAAGATTCAGAAATAAGTGGCTCTTCTGAGTATACAACTAAAAATATAAAAGGAACGTGCAGAAGGGCGACATCGGTCGCGAACTCTAACTCTGTCCCAAATAAGTCTCAATTTCAGCTTAGTAGAGCAGCTTCAGCAGAATCTATTATTGCTATGAAAACCTTCGATGTCACCTTAATAACTTAAGGTATCTAGTACCAAACTAAAGGTCTATTGGGTATTTAAAAAAAAATTAATAATAAAATAAGCAAAATGTTTGCAGCATAGCCAATGTAGACCAGATGGCTTCTAGAGAAGAATAAAAACATTCAACAAGGATTTGTTGCATTCAACAGGATTGTAAAAACAGAGATGAAATGACTTGGAAGATGCTCTAGAACCTAGATGGCCTGAAACAAAAAAACTAGGAAATAAAATAGAGAACATTTATCAACTATCAATAGAGTGTGACAACAGATAGATAACAATAATAGAATGAAACCTCATAGGTACAAAGAAAGTTTTCCTCACACAATATAACAGAGATTCTGAAAGCTTTTTAAACATTTTCATTTTTGATTATGTAAATTACCTTTTTTGTTGAAGGTAATATTATATAAATAAAACATAAATATAAAATGTATGAGATTAAATCTAAAATTTTATAAAATTCGCATATTATTGATAAAAAGACTAATTTAATAAGAAATTATGGTTATTCAACAAAATATTATATCAGTACGATTTAAAAATACAAAGTTGTTTGTGTCTATATGCGAAATAATTTATCAGAACTGTAACATAGGTGGCGAATGTTTTTGTTTTTCGGAAGTGAAAATAATATAAAAAATATTATTGGAAGCACCGAAAACTTATATAGTGGCCACAAAAGAGTAAGGCGATATAATGGTAGACACCCTGGAATCGCTACAAGAATTAGTAAATAGAATTAATGATTATTGCATTAGATACGGACTAAAAATAAATAAGAGGAAAACTAAATTTATGATTGTCTCAAAAACGCAATATGGAAATGAAAGATTAATGATAGAGCAAACCCAAATAGAAAAAGTAGAGACATACAAATATCTGGGAACCTGGGTTGATGACAAAAATGACTAAAGCAGAGAAATCAAAGTCCGAATTGAAACTGCAAGGCAAGTATTTGTGAAAATGAAGACAATGCTTACCAACAGAGGCCTTCAGTTGCATCTCAGATTGAGGGCTCTAAGACGTTACATATTTTCTATCTTACTATACGGAATGGAAGCTTGGACATTGAAGAAACAACACATAAGAAAAATAGAAGCGTTCGAAATGTGGTATTACAGAAGAATGTTAAAAATTCAGTGGGTTCAAAGGATTACCAATGCTGAGGTACTACGACGTCTAAATAAGGAGTTAGAAATTATGAACAGCATAAAAAGAAGAAAACTAGAGTATTTGGGTCACATAACCAGAGGAGAAAATTATGAGCTGCTGAGAAATATTATGCAAGGAAGGATCCAAGGAAGAAGAAGCATAGGAAGAAGACGCATCTCCTGGCTGAGGAACCTTAGAGAATGGTTTAACTGTAGTTCACTACAACTTTTCAGAGTAGCAGCCAACAAAGTGACCATAGCCGTTTTGATATCCAACCTCCGATAGGAGATGGAACTTTAAGAAGAAGAAGCTACGTACGTGATATTGTGCTTAGTGTTCGCCATATTTTGCTGGAGTGTCCTTTGTATTACATGGAGAGACTTCAATATAAATTACAAGAGACTTTACAGGCAATATTAAGTGACGAAACTGATAAGAAAAATTTGACATCATATCTATATTCCATAAATGTACTAAATAAATTATAAAACTTTAAATTGTACAACGCCAAACAACAAAATAGGAAATGGAACTTTAAGAAGAAGAAGAAGTACAGCGAATGAATAATATGGAAGTTTTTGTTTTGTCCACCGCATCCGTCGTAAAAGAGGCGAAGTGTCGTAATATTATCGTACCCTAAAGGCTGCCCTGCTACATATCAAAGCAGAATGTAATGGAATTTTCAGGTGTTTCTTTTAGCAAACTATAAAAAGTATTAGACCTCTTTTAGAGGATATTCAACTCAGTACGAAACTCTCTTTTCTTTACCTCGTTAATTTCCGTTATGATTTTGAATTTAAGTCTAGTACATTGTGCTCATACATCTGATGCTGAAGTAGAAAACCCAATGTTAAAATCATTATTGAATATTCTCTTAAACATCGAAAAGTTTACATTATGTTCAGAATAGCATTGAGTGAGGTATGCCAAGACCAAACTGTAGAGCATGTCCTATGTAATTGCCTGGAGTTATCGTTATTAAGAGAGTACGAGTTCGACGAGTTCTGGCCCATACCTGCTCACATAAGTGAGATGGCAGGATGGACAATGAGCTGAGGGCGATAGCTTCCTGCGAGGATGCACAATGGGTCAATTGTGGCCAACGTGCTGCGAAACCTTCTCGCTCTTCCTACTCTACAGATACTGGATCGATTTTATTAAAATTTGGTGGGGTGTTTTAGTATAGCATAAACATTGAATAAGAAAATACTTAAATAAGAAAAAAATGAATGGTCGCTATTTTATTTTATTACGAATTTGCTCCAAAATGAATAGTTTTAACGTTATAATCAAGGAAAGAACAAAAAAATCAATGTTTTTAGTAATTTTTAAATATTTTAATTTTTTTATTAAATTTTCTCGACCTAGTTGAGAGGAAGAATAAGTCAATTAATATTACTGAAGTTATCACACAAGTTTTTCTGCAAAAATCCAAATGCCACCTCTCACTTCTACCTCTAAAAAATCCGCCCTGGTCTACTGAGTATTCGGATTTTTCAGATAATCAGTACTTATATATTTGAAGGTTTCCATAAAAAGTATTTCTTATCGATAAATAGTAAATACAATTTTTTGGGTATTATTTCCGCCATTGACGATTGCAGCCTTCGCCTCTTACTTCTCCGCCTATGGTGGCAATGTGGTTCGTTAACCTGACGTCAGCTGATTGGAAAATATAAATAACCAACGGATAATAGAATCCTAGTAGTATTAACAGCGTTCTTGATTTAGTATTTTCAAGTAAATTGTCGTGTAAACAAGTCAGTTTGTAAGTTTTTAACAAGATGTCCGAACAACACTTTGATGAGTACGAACACTACAATTTTGAACATGAGAAGCATATGCCCAGTAGCCATAGCGGCAAACAAAGAAGCAAGAAAGAAGCCAGCGAACACACCAACCATTTTGACCCCTCTGGACATTCTAGAAAAATCGCCACCAAATTAATGAACTCAGAAGCCAATAAGAAGAAATCAGCAGTGTGACAGTGCCGAAAAAATATCAGATTGGACTTATTCTTGGGTAAAATCGAATACGGATTTGAAAATAACATTGTAGAATATAAAAAACTCTCTATGAGACAATAAAAACTCTTTTTATATGTGATTGATAGATTGTTAAGGTATTTAAAAAGGTTTTTTTACTTTACAATAAATTGTAATGAAATCTATCGATTCCTTTGTTTTTTTTTTCAACCTACACATTACACAAAAAGTGGTTGTCAACTGCTAGATTATTTATAAACTGCCTCGAACTGGTTTTCAAGGTAATTTATATTTTCAAACAAAGACAACAAACATTATCGTTAACCGTCAAGGATATTTTTACTTTAACCTTTAGATTAATTAATGTTTTTTAATATTTATCGTTTATAATCTGTTTATTGCCTGAATGAGTAGATATAACAAAATATTATTGGTTAAGTGCTAATAATATCCTGTTACTGTTAAAACCTCAAATTTTTAACATTTAACAATCTTTGGCATTTATTTTTCTATTTTTACATCGAGTTTTCTCTGAATTTTTGAAGAAATGACATGATGATACAATGGAATATTAATTGCCTACAAATAAACTATTCCAGTTTGTATCTTAACAGGTTTTTTTTTTGTATTTTTCAGGTGTTTATGTACGCAAGTAACATAGCAGAGCCACTGTTTTTATTCTTTTTTGATTAAATAACTGATTTTCTTTTTCCTCTTCTCAAATTCTTTTGGCTTAAGGCGTAAAATTGGGTTCCATTTCTCTACCTATTGTTTAGTTTCTACTTTGTTATTTATCTGTTATCTTCATGCAGTGGCGGACTAAGACTAAGTGGGCCCTAGGCAATATTGTAATTCCGGGCCTATTTTTCAGTCACGACACATACTTTCTGTTTGGTAGTTTAGTTTCAAAGCATATAGTATGTAGTTCAATTTTATTATCGGATTCTAATGAAAAATAGGAAAAAAAATATACATCCATGTACAAAAATTAAAGAAACATAATTTATTAAAACAAACAATAATACTTCAACAGATATACCAAAATTTATTAGTTATATTGGTTTTCTTCTCATTTTTAATTATGCAAACATTATTTAATAATTCTTTTCATATAAAGTAATGATAAACTATTTAATTTTTGTTGGCCTAATGTGATCTTAATTTTTTTTTATATTGGCCATTACTGAGAATGATATTTCACTTGCATTGCTTATTGGAAGGGTTGTAAAAATTATCAAAATTGTTTTTAAATTTGAGAATGTTGCATTAATAATATTTTCCTGAATAAATGACTGGCTCACACCCTAAATGATGGAGTCGCTACTCGATGAAACTAGCTTGTGCCAGGGGCTCAATATTTATTAGAAAAAAAGTACATACTGAAATTAAATTACTATAAGTCTTTTACAACAGCATAAGCTATTTTTTGGGTTTCAAGTATACCAGCCTTGAATAACAATAAATATTTAATTATTTTATGTATGATTTAATACATAAAATAATTTCATCAATTTATCGTTTTTAAATTTGCGAAGTAGGCGTTGCACTAAATTCATATTGCAGTTCATTTTGTGTTTAATTTGACATGTTTCTGTTTTTCTTCGAAATTCTACTCTGAGCTTTGTTGTCGTATATTATTAATTAGGTATTTTCTTATGTAAAAACTATAAATATTCACAAAGTCTTAATTCAATAAAGAAACCTTTTTCAGAACCACCGAGTATCTCAAGATTCTGGTATTAGCCCCACCCTTTTTATTCTTGCTATAAATGATATATGCAGTAACTTCCCCAATCCCATTCAATACGTTCAATATGCCGATTACCTTATTATCTATTGCCATGGAAAAAACCCTTCCTGCCAACTCTTAGAGTATTTAGTCGATCTCTCGAAACAAAATTGAAGGCCTAGGTTTATCCTTATTAGCAAACAAATCTAAAGTTATTAAATTCGGCTGAAAAGCCACACCTCTGCTTCGCTAATCTCAATCAAGAACGGCCCCTATAACTACAGTGGATAATTGTAAAATTCTGGTAATGATGTTTGATTCTCGACTAAACTGGATACAACACATAAATTTTATCAAAGTCTACTGCCTTAAGCAACTCAACCTAATAAAACTGTTTCACACTTTTGTTGGAGTGCTGATGAGAAGGTCCTTTTTACAGTTTACAGAGCTCTGGTAAGATCCAAAATAGAATACGGGTGCTTTATTTACATATCCGCATTCAAATCTGACCTAAAACTATTAGATTCTATCCAAAATACTGCTCTTCATTTATGTCTCGGAGATTTAAGCTCCAGCTCTTAGAAAAATTTGTATTGCGAAAGTAACAAGTCCCCCTATCCCTTAAAAAACATCTACTTCTATCATATGCTACTACTAAATCAAGAAATGCTTCCAACCTCATTTACCATTTTACTACCTCTGTACCTGATTACTACATTAGTGACCCCTCTAGCACAGTTATAGAGCCATTCCCGCAATTATTCGCACGTCAGTTAAAGAACACTGGCCTATCTCTCACCCTGCCCATCCCTTCTCCAGTCACCCTTCCCTGGACGAAATAGCTCCCTTTATATAACACCTTCCTCTCCATTTACAACAGATATGATACGCCTCCTACTTTTAGAAAGGAACCCTTCCAAGGAATACTGGACACTTTTTGATTTAGTTTTTTCCACTACTTTTAAAAATTTTTGGAGTGTAGGATGCGCAGTTACAATTTTAAAAGATCTTGTAAGTTCCACTCGGTTGCCCTCATCATGCAGTATTTACATAGGCGAGCTGTTTAGCATCCTCTAAGCCTTAAATTCATTTCCACCTCATTAAAATATGTAGCAATTTGCACCAATTCCCTTTTCTTCATATTCTCATTGAAATCAATATTTATTGATCATCCATTAGTTCAGAGTATACACGACATATACCAATCTCTTCATGCTCGAGAAACAAAAGTCTCATTTATCTGGCTTCCATCGCACATTCGCCTTGTCGGTACCGAAACTGCTTATCGCCATGCTAAAGAAGCGGTTACTTCATTAATTAGCCTAACAACTATCCAACTAAGAAAAGACGTTAAAGTTAAGTTTAAAAAGGCAATTCTAGAATCTTGGCAAGCTCGTTGTAATGACTGTGATACAGTCCTACGCAGAATTCAACCTAAAATTACCTAGCCAAGTCTTACTTACCCCACTCGTAACGAATCACAGATCATAAGAAGGTTAGGAATAGGCCATGCACGATTGACACATTGCTACTTAATGTCTACCGATGAACGTCCAACATGTCAACAGTGCAATTGTGGCCTTACCGTAAACCATATATTAACGGACTGCCAAGAGTACACCAGTTATGTCCGGAAAAATAACATCGCTTGCAGATATTCTAAACTATGCAAGTGAATACACCTAATTTACTCAAGGACAGTAATTTTTTTAATAAAATTTAATACGTATTTTGTAATTTCTTAGAATAAATCATCTGGATTGTGCCAATGGCCAATGCAAGTAGTTGCCAAGGCACTTAGGCTTAATATAAAAAAAGAAACCTTCCATTAACTTTTCTCAATTCAGATTAAAACTGATTTGTTTTGTTCGATTTTTATTTCCAAAAGCGTTAATGAGACTTATCATTTAAAAACAAATTTGTTATTGTTCATTTAAATTACATGTTATATAACAACACGTTTGCTATTTGCAGATTAATGATTAATATTAAAAGTGATGATCTTTGCATAAATTATTAATTTTACCAAATAAAACACTATACAAAGTAACTGCAATCAAGTTTAATAAACACATATAAAGCCAATATGCTGTACCTCTGAAGTAAGCAGAACGCGTTCAGCTAGGAAATAAATGATAATACACTTCAAAATACTTTTCTGTTTCCATTCTTTGATTTGTCATAAGTGTGTACAAAAACATCGTCTTTTCATATTATCGCTCTAACGTGTGGGAAATCCACCTCTGCTTCTTTGGTCTGATATATCAAATACCTCATGCCATCTCTGAATCTCGCAACACATCCTGTCCACTTCCGTTTTAGTGTCGAAATTCCTTGTTTTATGTCTTACTTTTGTTCTTGTCCAGTTCTTTTTGTTTTGTTTTTTTTTGTTTGTAATTCTTATGCGATCTTAGTTTCGAATTCCAAGCATAGCTCTCTTCATTTTTGAAGCATCTCGAATGTTTTTACGGTGTTCTTTGTCACTTTGGGAGTTTCTGCACCAAAAGTCATTACTGTAAGTATGCATTGATCGTATATTTTCGTTTTTAGGATATTCGTATGTTGCTTTTAAAGGCATCCTTCAGCCTTCCAAATGCGGTCAATATGTCAACTTGCAGACAATATGTTTACAGAATCCCAAAAATGGAAAAAGTGACGTGTACAGAAATACCTTCAAATATAAATATATGTTATAAACAATCCTTGGGAGTGTGTAGACTACAAACAATGTAGAGTAGTTACATTTTGATTAAATGCTATTTATAATTATTGATTAAATAAATGATAAGAGTACTTGTATTTGTTTTGACAACATGTTTATTTGTTTAATAATAATCTTTTGGCTTATTCTACAATATTTGTCTAGATAAAATATATAGGTTTTGGAAAGTTTAGAGTATTTCCTAATTATTTATGTACAAAAAAATATATTTATATTAAAAACAAGAGGTTAAGACCAACCATAGAAAACCTTCTTTTTCTATTATACAGTATGCCTATTCTTCAATGTGCCTCCAGTTAACTAGTTTACAAATACAAATATTGTTTGTAGCAAGTCAAAAATACTTGAAAACTTAAAACATCACAAACAAGAACACAGATTAACAGAATATCATTTATGGCAATATAGAAGGATGATGTTGAATCCGATTTATCTAGGATTGATCCGATATATCATGCGAAATGAAATCCCAAAATCGTAGACGATAGAGAGCTGTAGTGGATGTAAACTCACCTTGAGTAAGACTAGCCAATAAGAAGACTTGTGTGTCCACATGAAACAGATGCATATGTAATTATTAGTAGTATAATTCTGTTTATCAGTCTTAATTTTATTTTTATAAATAATTTGCTTCTTCTCTCTGTAAGCCTCCTTATTACGGCACTGGTCGTTGTTGTTTTCTGAACTGTTACATTAACACGTGGTGTAATGACCTTGGTCCATTGTGAATTCTAGGTAATTAGCTTCATTTTGCCACTCGATGTCTTCTATTTTTGAAGATAATCGCTTGGGTCTTTTCTGGATTTAATGCTATTTTTCAATAGATATTCCATCCTTCTATCGTATTCAGTGCCGTCTATAGATTTCTTATAGTCAAATCCAGGTTCCTATGTTTTCAGCGATTCCAATGTTGTAGGAATAAAGGTTGATTAATGTTCCGGGTGTTCTTGGAACGTCTGCTGTATATGCTATACAGGAGAGGTGATAAGACTGTCCCTGTGGTACTGCAACTCAGCTATATAACTGGTCCTATCTGTTCCCTGAATCTTCAGTCGCTTAGCTACGAGATGAGTTTCATCATGGCCTCGCTGTATCTATAATCTCTCATTCTCTCATTTTGTATCTGTCGTTCATGCCACACTCTGTCAAAGACTTTGACCTCTGAATCCAAATTGTGCATCTGGGATTGACCCTAGCCTATCCATCTCTGATTGGAGTCTGCTTTGAATAACTCGATACAAAAAATGTTTTAAAAGTTATTTATAAAAAGAAATGTGTTAACATATTTTTGGAGTTTTCTAATTATAGTTTTTGTCATAATCATTTGCTTTTCTAATTAGACATTTTATTTTCAGAAAAAAGTAAAAAAGGAGGAGGCATTTTCAAGGCTAAATATTGCGAAAATTAATCAAAATTGGCATCAGATACTAAGAAGAGCAAAATGCCAGGAAATGAAAGACAACGTTGAGGTAAACACACTTTATAAAAAAATCAGTGAAACTCAATGAGATTACATATAAATCAAATCGTGTAATTATATTTTTAGCATTTAAGGAAATGGATAGAAAGAGTGGTGCGGTATAAAAATCAAACAATCTCAAGACTTGTTAAAGAGCTGGACGAAGCCGAAGATGACTATCTAAGCAACTATACGTCGCATTCAAATCACATCAATAACATCTTAGAGAAACAGCACAATTACGTAGATAAATTGAATAACCAATATCAGGACGACTTAAATGAATTACTGAGATGCGCCGACAAAGAACAAAGTAATATTTTAGAAAATGCAGATGAAGAACGAATGTACTTACAAACAATTCTGTATCGGCAAGAATTAAATGAGAAGGCTATGAAAAAGGAGGCAGATCTCTATATGCAAAAGTACTATGAAGATAAGCAAGAGGTAAGTAAAAACATTCACTATATCTTTATTAATCCCGTAACTTTCTAGAGCAAGTACTTTGGTAATAAGGTAAAATTGTTGACATTGCATTATTGTCTCGAAATCTATGAACAATACTTTTTCTGTTTTGTTTTATATCTCACAATATTTATTGTTTTTGCAAAGCATATTTTTTAAGTAGTTTTCTAAATAGGCAATTTTCAAGTGGCCAGAATAAGTGTTTAATTCACTCGACTGACGTTTCGTGATTTAACTGTCAAAATTTAATTCGCAAAAATTGCCAGGCAACAAACTTTCATACCAGTTAAAAATATTGCCGGCAAAATGTTCTCTCTTATGTCATTATATACGATAATAAGCAGGGAAAAAATAAAACTGTGTCAATCATAAACATTTATGCTCCAACAGAAGATGCAAGTAACGAAGATAAATTAGACTTCTACGAGTAACTAGAAGAGGCTTGTGAAAACATTCTCAGAAACGACATCATGATGATAATAGAAGACTTCAATATCATGGTTGAAAATGAGGAATAATAAGGAGAAGAATAATAAGAGGAGAATAATAAGGAAGTTATATGAAGAGAAAAAATTCACGAAGAAACGAATGATAATGGAACCACACTATGCAGCTTCGACGATAAACATACAAATTGCCACTACAAAAAATACGACATAAAAATCAATATTCCCTTCGGCGTGGAAAAATAACATGGCTTCTTCCGAAGGGAAGGTAACAAGATAGATCACGTACATAAAAAAAATGGTTAAGACTAAGGATCATATAAGGATCATATAGGGTAGCAAACGCTGAATCAGACCACATATTAGTTATAGCAAAATTAAAAATGAAAATAATAAGAATGCAAGCTCAAAAAAAAAGAAAAAACTGGAATCTTAACAAGCTAAAAGCAAAAGCAATGTTCAATTTTTTCACATACGAAAAATCATGTCATTTTTTCGCTGTATTATTAACTATCCTTATATCACAATCATTATCCTAGTCCAACCCTTATTAACCCTTCCTACTTACAGTTCAACCCCCTCTCTTAAGAAATACAGACAGTTTCAAGATAGCAAAGAAGAAAGACACTCTCTTGATGGTCGCCCGTCGCTAAGGACAGACCATTCTCACTCTCTTAGTTTGGCCATCGCTAGAGCCAGACGATCTCTCTTGATTTGGCCACCGCTAGAGCCAGTCGTACTATCTCTTTCATTCTCTCTCTTCGCTTATCAAGAAGAACAGCATCTATCTTGGCTGTTTTTCTATCGTAATTACCTCTTTCCCGCTTTAGTTACGCGAGAAATATCAAAAATACTGTATTAAATCGTGTGCAGACAAAGTGTGCTCTATATCGTGATATATTTGCGAAACACGTGTTCAGAAACCGGTGCATCAGACAGATTTCCTGGGTGAAAAATAACCACGAGTGAAGACCGGAAACAACCGTGAGAGTGTGGAGCAGAAAAAATATTGGTAAGACTTTCTATAAACTTAATTTGCTATTGTCTGTATACCTTTTATTACTTATCCTAATTTTATTGAACCAGCCCTATATAATACAGTCCACATACACGGAAATTATACTAATAATTTTTCACATATGTACACCTTTTTTGTACAAGCAGTACAAAGTAAAAACGCAGAAGATATAGCAAAAAACTACAAAAGGCCGAAGCTAAAGAGACGATACAGAAACTGAAGGGGAACAAGGTCAAAACAATCTTAATGGAGACAGCTGAGGTTTGATGCAGCATGCAAAGCCAAAAACATAGAGAAGAAACAAGCTTGGATTATGGTGGAACAGTAGGTCGACCAAATCTGGAATAGGCATTCTGTCGTATTAGCCTTTCTCTATTAGTCTATTAGTCTTAAATGTTATGTGTACTCAGTGCTTCTGTACGGAGTAGAAACGTGGACATTGAAGGCAGAAACTCTATCAAAACTTCAGGCTTTTGAGCTGTGGCTATATACAAGGATCCTGAAGATACCATGGACAGACAAAGTCACCAATGAAGAAGTACTGCGGAGGTTGAACACATCTGCGGATTTGGTCAACAACATGAAGAACCGTAAGCTGCAGTACTTGGGACACATAATGAGAAATCAAGGCAAATACGAGCTACTTCAATGCATTTTGCAAGGTAAAATTAAAGGAAAAAGGGCCCCAGGACGAATAAGAATATCCTGGCTTGCTAACCTGAGAGCATGGTATAGAAAGACCTCAACACAGCTATTTCGTATGGCAACCAACATAGCCAGACTGATCGCCAACGTTCGGAACGTACTGACACTCTAAGAAGAAGTCTTTCTCCTGTTATTTCAGGATCTCATCTTTAGCGTACAGAGGATTAGAATATACGTTTAACTCCTTTCTTACATCTTTATTATTGACACACTATTTACAACTTAAAGGTAATGATTTATATAGTACTTAATTAAAGATATAATGTGATTTACTTGGATACGCATGAAGATCATTGACTAAGCGTAACTAAGATTACATCTTTTTAATTACAAAGTACCGATTGACTAAACTATATTGCGATTTGTAATAGTTGGGGTCAGTGTATCCCTGGTACACTGATACATCCCTGATATAATAGCAGTTATTTTTTTTAAACATAGAGCGTGTAACAATAGTGGCTGGTTTTTGGCGTCCTGGCTGAATGTATTTTAAAACCAACGGATCCGGATATTGAAGAGAGAATAAGTAAATCACACAACAACCTGTAAAGGACAGGAGGCGGCATAGAACAAAAAAAAAAACAATTAAAAGACCAAGAAAATAGTGATGCTCCACGAAAAACGGATCAGAAGAGCTCATATTAATGAGCGTCAACGATGACAATTGTCAATGATCGACAACGTCTATGGAATTGGAATTAGAAGCAGAATTTTCTAGGTCCATGTCAAAAAATTCCTACTGGCACTATCAATTACCAAGAAATAATAAATTTGGGAAAATTTTAAAAATAATAATTTATGGGTTTTTATAATCTATCGATTAACTACAACAATCATGTATTCATAATCATTTATTATTACAAAATTTATGACAACTGATGCAAATGCACGAGAATAATAAACATACGTATGGCGAACGTGACGTTACTAGAATATTCCTTATACAAATTTTTCTTATCTTAATGCATTTACGTGACATTTTAAGTATTTTTAGCAAATTAGAAAAAAATAATAAACTGTAACTACGTCTCAAATATTTGTATATATTATAATGTCAGTAGTTTGTATTTATTATTATTTATTTACCTTTTTATTTGATTTATAATAATAAATTCTTTTTTGTACATTATTTAATTATTTTTGTGTCAAATTTGATTAAATTGTTTTCATTCTTTGCTCTTTGATTGGTTTTCCTATTTCTCCACCTTAAACACTTTTGGTGTAGCTATTTAAATATGCTTCTGTTTTAGATTTAACTGCAGCTTAGTAGTAATAGGTTCAAAATAATCCAGATTTAATCCATGAGGCCTTCACTCCCTCAAAGCAAAAATTCACTAATCCCAATCTCAGATAACTACACCACCAAAAGAATTAAGCTCTGGGGAACTTGGTATGCTGGAGTATCTTCTACAAATTTTTAAAAGTATCAGGAAGTCGCAAGCAGTGTCGCTCTTGTATGGTATTATAGAGATTACTTAGGCACAACGATTTATTGTTATCTAAGAGACTCTTCGGAAAGACACTAGTAGTAACGAGCTAACAGAATTAGGGTACTATTTCTTGGTCCATTTTCCATCCCTGCCTCTGGCAACATAACCTGTCCAGTTCCTTTTAGCACTGTAATTTTTTTAACTACCCCTATAACACACTGCCCCTATAGCACCAGATTTTCTCTTAACTATTTGATTTGAAACTCTCTCTCTACAACCGTGTTGTATAACTAACACTGTTCCATGGTACATCGACATTTTGTTTTCGACACCGTTCATAGGTATCCTGTCAATCAGTTACCAGCTGAGGTCCGTTTGAAGAGGTTTACTCTCCGGACGCTGGTACTCACGTGTGGCATGGGTGTATGTTACCTGAAGTAAAATATAATAAAATAATAAACATCAATAATTTTTAACAACAATATGTAAAATCTTTGGTAACCTTTACTTTACTTTACTTTTTTTACTTTAAAGGGTTTTTACCCTAATATTTAGGTGGCTTAGGCATGTTAACCTGTAAGTATAACCATTTTGCTTTTTTAACCTTAGTCAAAATTTCAATCACGTTTGCTTGAATTAAATGGTTCTTACTTATTTTAGGCTTTTAACCTGATGTTGGAATTATTATTTGTTAATTTGATGTAGCCCTTTTAAAGGTTTTAAGTTTTTTTTTTAAATATACCTACTTACAAAGATTTAACCTCTTTTTTATTTTTTAAACTATTTTGTCATAGATATACTCGTATATCTTTTATACTCTAAACATTCAAGTAGATGTAATAAAGTATGAAATCCTTTCGATGTTTTCAGCCACAGTAAGGCATCTTTTAAGAAATTAGACAAACATTCTCATTTTAAATAACTTGTAGATGCGAACTTAAAACTTTATTTAAAACAATAACATAAATTATATACATATCAGCCTATTACAAAAACTACTAAAACGGTAAACCACCAGCGGGCCAGTCAGCGCAATTTGCTTTACCTTTTTCTACCAAACATTTGACCAACTTCGTTGAGAAAGAACAGCTATCCATTTTATTGTCTATAATAAAAATAAAATAATTTTAACATAAACGAACAAAACTATTATTTTAACAAACAATTACATTGTTTGAAAATTCACAAGGATAAAATATGAAGGGGAAATAGAGAGTTTACAAATCAATTGAGGACAGGGTGATGTGATTTCTTCAGAACTTTTTAATTTGGTCGTTGAACTAGTTATAAAGAAAATAGGTATTAAAGAAACGGTTATACATAAATGAACAAAAATCATTAAGTATGTCGATAAAATTGCTTTGATATCCAAAGATACAAGAA